ATTTCTGTTTTACAAATTGTTACAATTTTAAACAGATAAATGACACACACAAAAAAAAACAAATTACTCAAACATTACAAACAAAACAAGACAAAACAAACCACTAACTACTACTTACTTTCAAAATTAGTCCGAATAACGTACTCCGATAAAAAGAGGTATCCGTACACAATCACGCAAACCAAACACTCAAACACCGACGTCTTCTCTCTTCGGGTACCCACAAATTCAAAACTTCCGTGTTTCCGCAAAATAAAAAAAAAAAACAGGACGGCGACAAACTTCTTAAACTTTTCAAAAAAATTCTTCTTAAACGGCAAACAAAAATTCTAACTAAACCTGGATCCACTACGCAAGAAACTTCCACAAAATTCAAAAATAACGTAACCGAAGAAGCGCCGGTTGGCTTTGTAACGACTAAAAAGCCCCGCTCTCTTCAAAAATTTTCTATTTAAGCCAAAAGCCCTTCTCCTTTCTTCAACATCCCGCCCGCCATTCACGCGAAGCGTCGATTTTTCAACTTCTTGCTAAACGGCACGTACGCCCGGCAATTCTGCGAAGACAACCTTATCTCTACTTCGCGCTATACCTCGTTAACGGCAAATAAAATTTAAAAAAGAAATTTACATCGAAAAAAATTCTAGGAATAAAATAAAAACAGAACACTTCTAAGAAATTGAACCAAAACTATAACATGAAATTTACGCAATCCTGTGTCTCAAATTATTAATAACCCCCCCGGTTAATTAATTGAACTAAACAAAATTGTCACATCCAGACGCTCTATAATTTCTTTCAAGTTACAACTAAAACAAAATAACACAACAATATTTATTTGATCTTGTCATTTCTTACGCACAAAAGTTCTGTCTTTTATTTAATTCCCTTCCCGATTATGTCTCACGTCCCAACACATAAAAGAACCGATTACACAACGTAGGAGTCCATTCGTGCCACCCATATCGAGCCGATTGTCATCCACATTCAAAAGTGCCGCGAGACTACCATCGTTTCGACTTGAAAGGTAGGTGGCTCTGCTTGTAGTTTTTGCCAGAGTTGCCAACCGTAAGTATAGGGTAAGTCAACGCTTTCCGTGTCGGCTTGATAGACTTCCCCTAGGAACATTACAAGACTTAAGGCTGATTCTCACTATACATAACGTTTCCATACCATATCCTTTCCATAAGACTGAATGTCTTACGCACTTATCACTTAAAGGTCAATTTCGTAGGTATAATAATTTACGGAATGGTTATGAAAGGATATGGTATGGAAACGTTATGTTAAGTAAGAATCAACCTTTATTGGCAGTTTTCTGAAGAGCAAAAAGCTTTCTGTTTTGATGCAAGAAATATTCCCAACATCATTACATGAATTTTTGGCAGATTTGCTGCTATCAGCTTTCGTATACCCACTTTCCATTCCTATCTGGTTTTAAAAACTAAACTTTAGGATAATATAATCACTATAAAATGGAACAAGCACTAAATTAAAAACGTGGACAAACTCTAGAAACGCACAGAGGATTAGGAAACAGTAAATACTACCGTCTAATGCTACTACGTTTTTTTTCGTTAAAAATGATATTCGAATTTTTGGAGTCGGTATTCCGAAAAGGTTATACTATTAGTTCATGTTCAGGTAAATTTAATTTTTTCGGAGTCGCCATTTCTATCAGTTAATATGCGAAACAGTCGTTCATTCATGAATGAAACTCGAAAGCATAAAAATTACTCTGCCATTATCAGCATCACTATACATATACCTACATATTAAATTTCAAAACATTCTTACCGTGAAAATTACAGTTATAATCAAAACTAACTTCTACAATCAAGACGCAAACAATTTCATTATGAAAAGCGCTATCTGTTGTAATTTCTTCTCAATTTTGTGTGGGAGTAGCACTTCGAATTAAATAATTATCATTTTATGTGTAACGTTTCTTCCTGTACTGTGGCCTATCTTGTTCGTAGTATATAATCAATGATTACAGTTACGCCTCTTTACTAATTCTCACTCAACGATCAACGAGTAAAATTCGAAGTTACTTAATTATAATATAAATTTGAAATATTAATTGGTAAGAAAAGAACGTTACATACTCCTTTCGTTGTTTTACTCCTGGTTGCCTTATTACATATTTGCAATTAACTTGTGCGCTTGAAATAGACTGATTTAGGATAAATAAATGTTACTGTTGTAGCCAAGGACGTATATCGTTTTTATAATATGCGGCACCTGTGGTGAGCTCTGTGGTTAAAACTTCAAAGAAATATCTCCATAAATAAACAAGTGGGCACTGCAATATTCTTGTCTTTACTAGAAGCATTTGTGGTTAAAATTTCGAAGAAATACCTCCATAAATAAGATAGTAGACATTGCGCAGACTGCGCATGCGCACATTTATGGTCAAGATTTTTCTTGGCCGTAGGATATAACGTGAGGTTAGTTCGGCGCTGTAAAACTCAAACCCCGCCGCATAAACGGCCAGCTAGCTCAGATTCTTAATTAAAAGAAGGGCTCGAGATGAGAATCTTCCACAGCGGTTTGTTCGTTTGGGCATATAACATAAGTTTTTGATCTTTGGTAGTTACTAGAAATGATTAGTTGAGCGCCACCCAATTTTGCACAAATTCTGACCTCTCCTGTATAGAAATTGGGAAAACAGAAGAGAGCCAAATAATGAATTCACTACGAACAATTCTGATTTATTAATCCTAGCAAAACGGTGCAGGATCGGCAAATAAAATGTATCTTCAATACGACAATAACAAATACTTTAAATGACAAAAATAATCCCCAAATAAATTCATGAACACTTCCCTAATAATTACGTTACCAGACCCCTACAACAATGATCGAGCAAAAATGTAGTTAAGATTTCAATGGATTCCAAAGATTGAATTAAGTTAACCCGAATAACAACTCATATAGGCAACACTGGGTACAAGTAAATTAAAAATCTTACCTTGAATAACACATACGCTGTCTTCTCCGAAAAGAGCTCTCCTTCGTTCCAGTTCTGTAACACAAAAACAAACCCCAAGCTACAACGCTCGGAACGATTATATGAGCCGGAAGGGCCAAAAATAGCTTACTCGTAGCCGGCTCGTTTACCCATACGTTAAATACAGGTGCGTTGCTCGTGAAGAGAGCCACGACCTCAAACACTAGACGCGAACAAAATACAAAGCTCCAATCATAAATCGTCGGAAGGTTACACTAGATTAACGGTATTGAAGCAAATAAAAAAAAAGGTTGTGTAAAAGATCGTATCTTCCGAAAATTCCACAATCAGCTGGTCGCTCCCGGTACCGTTTAGGTGTCAGCGCTTATCTACTCGGTGGTACGCCGGATAGCTGGCGGCAATCAACAGGTGTTCGTACTCCGGAATATTCGCAAGATGCAAATTCATGTACTATCCCAAAATTATGCCAGGTCAATGTCCTCCGCCCACAAGAATGTGCAGGGATATACTATAAACTATACCATACAAGGATTCGTCTGTACAAGGATTGATCGGTACAAGAATTCATCTACTACATGGACCCCCTAAAAGTAATGAAGATGTAACACTCCCTTGACGAGATTTTTAATAACATACCTGAAATCGTCAGGAGGGTAATGAAAAATACTTAAATCAATGAAATATGGAAATTATCCAACCTCAAATTGTGAATCTGAAAGAATTTTAGATAACATAACGTAAAAGAAAACCAACGCCATTTCACTTACATGTAGGTAGGGCGATGAACTTCAACCAGATATATAGCCTCGCAATGGAGAAAACGGCTTCTGAGTTACACTACTCGACAACGCCAATGAAAAAAAAAAAGGTAAAATTGCCAGAGATTTCACGGAATGATGGCAAATATTACCCACTGGTTTAAGAAGAATTCACAATGCCACGCTCTACAACAAGTACAACCTCGTTGGCTTTAAAACGGAAAATGAAGTGAAAAACTAACGCGATTCTGCGCGAGGAAAGAAACACGCGTACAAGTGACGCCATCTCACCTATATCCTACCTAACCTAGCAAGCGGTAATTTTGAAATTTGAATATGAATGAACTAAACTGTTACAAGGAGCAGTGGCTCCCTTGCATTGACTGACGGAGAAAGTAGCCATGATTGCGTCTTCCAACATCAGTTGAAAAATGCGCTAAATGCCGAGCTAAATGCTAAGTTGTAGCATTAAAAAAAATAGAAAACATTTAAGAATAGTAGATTCATTAAATTAAAACAAGTTACAAGCTGTGCAAACATATTGCATTCACAGACCTCATTACGTTCTTCAGCCTGATAATTGTCATTACGACTAATTATACAGGGAAATTGGATTGTTAGAAAAACACTGTAAGTAATTTTAAGGTTGCTTATTTTATACGTTGCCCGCCTGCGTCCGTGTAATACGTCCAAACAAGCTTTATAAGCTTTTCTTTTTGTTTCGTTGTGTTTTGGAATAAATGTTTGTCAATCAATTAATTGTGCTTATTCGAATCCATTGTGCCACCCGGATAGAGTTTTCATGTCAATTTCTTTTCGTGCCCAAGAATTATGTCAGGTGTTAATGAAAATTTGTGCGGTTGACTCTTCGGAAATTGATCGAGGCCACCAAGTCTCTCAAATTGAGAAATTTTAAGTCAACATTAGGATTTTTCCTTTAGCAAATGCCGGATGTGTACGCAGAGAGATGATAAAATTCTAAGTTTCAATTTTGATTTGTTTTGAACAAGAGAATCCCAAGTAGTGGCCAATAATCAAGAAACCTGAAGGGATTGGGTTAGTGGTTGTGGTAAGAAACCATCACAAACTGCAAGCTTATTTCTTAAAATAACTGTTCGTTGACCTTTATGCAAAACATATCACGTTCCGTTCGTTATCATACACTGTGTAATTACCTAATCCGATTAATCTCCAGTTTTCCTTATTATTAGATAAAAGGTTTTTCCAAATGTTTAAATACACTATGGAAACTTCTTCTGTTTATTTCTAAAATGAAAGCCGCGTTTATTGCGTTAGAGAAGAGGTCTCTTCAATACGGCGCAGTATTCACTGGTGAGTGCGAAATATTGCTACCGCCCTTCTTCTTACAGTCGGCCCGCTAGGTTTATTGGTGGCATTATGTTGTGGATTGCACTTGGGGTGGACATCCCCGTACTTGCCAGTGCTTCTAAGTGAAGACTCTCCAATTCCAATGACCGCAGACGAGTCATCTTGGGTCGGAACTGTCTACCTGTTGGGCGGAGTGTGCGGTAGTGTTTTACTGAGCGTTTTCGGACGCCTCATCGGGCGGAAGTCGATTTTGTTGTGGTCTAGTGTCCCATTTTGTACGTCATGGATAATAATTGCATTTGCAACGACACTACCTGAACTACTAATCGGCCGCTATATTGCAGGGGTGTGTGAAGGGTTGTGTTTTGCATCCCTGCCGATTTACTTCAGTGAAATCTCCGACAAAGAAATACGTGGAATGATATCGTCCACAGCCTCCATTACTCTTTTCGTTGGTGTTATGGTAATCAATCTAGTTGGGTCCTACACGACTATCCAAACTTCATCTTTGGTTCTCCTGAGTGTACCCCTGCTCCATCTCCTCACCTTCATTTGGATGCCCGAATCGCCGAATTATTTACTAATGAAAGGAAAAATCAAAGAGGCAAGACGGAGTTTTGTTGCATTGAAGGGCACCGAAGACGCCGACCGCAACTTGGACATGATAGCCAGAGCAATCGAAGAAGAAAATGTAAATCAAACGAACTTCACTTGCTTGTTGAGGAGAAATAACAGAAGAAAATTGGTGACACTGTTCGGCTTAAGACTCGCCCAACAATTTAGTGGTATCACCGCATTTAGCATATACGCGCAAATTCTTTTTAAAGAAGGCGACGCTTCTATCCCCCCTGTGCTGGGAGTAATGATTTTTTATGGAATACAACTTATATTTTCCATACTAAGCTCACTACTGGTGGATAAACTCGGCAGGAGACCTTTGCTCATGGCATCTTCAATTGGAGCAGTCGTTACTTTGCTGGTAGAAGGAGCGTTCTTCTTCGTCCGTGATTTTATTAGAGCGGACACTTCCCACGTCTCATTATTACCAACGGTGGTATTGTTTGTGTTCATAGTCAGTTACAGTTTGGGCTTACAAACCATGCCCAATTTTATGGCGTCTGAACTATTCCCCACGAACTTGAAGGCGTACGCCTCCACAGTGGCCACTGTGCTATTGTACGCATTCGGGGCGATTTCCACGGAATTGTTCCAATTTACCAAAGATAACTACGGTCTTTTCGTTCCGTTTTGGAGTTTTGCAATTGTTTGTAGTGTCGGTTCGGTTATAGTTGCGATATTTCTGCCTGAAACTAAAAACAGAACACTGGAAGATATTCAAACTGAATTAAATCAGCAAACCTCAGGTCCGACAAGTGGTAGCGACCAAGCTCGCCAGGCAGGTGCGGCAGCCACAATCGAAGGTTGAAGATCACAGCCTTCAGAAACTTGGTATTATTATTATTAACAGCGTTCATTAACTTATGATTCTTATAGAAAGCAACAGATAACACTAAGTGTAGTAAATAAAGTGATTCAGAGGTTGTACCAACTTGAGACCTATTTTATCTCGTTGCTTCCTATAAAACATTCTCCTAAAGTCGAATGGTTAACGTAACTTAACATTTAATTGAACGCCACCCAGTTTCTTTAAATTATTATTAATAAACCCATTTTAAGTACAGTACTTCTTGTCTGGCTATCTAGGGAGGTGGCGTCCCTACGTTTGCAGCTTTAGAGAGGACACAAATTGAGTCGATCAAGTAACCTGATTGGTTGTGTACCTCACACTACAAAGACAAAAGTCTATTTCATAATTAAACTTGATTAAACAATAGCTATCCCTGCTGGCTAGATAATTAATCAAATTTAGTAAACAATTTCGCGAATAATTCTAGACAAACAAATTTAAATTATCAAGCGTTCATTACGACGCACAAGAATACACACAGTTCAAATTCTTCCACTGGTAATACCTACAAGCGAAACTCAAATAGTAAAGTATAATATTCTGTACTTTATCGCCTTTGAGTTATGCCACGCGGATTATCTCCCAATACAATGTCTTGTACCACCGGCTCCTTTTAGATTAAATCCTTATTCATAAACAAAACGCACAAAAGTACAAAGGAATAAAACGCAGGAATGTTTAAAACAATACCCGGTCTCTTTAAAGATCCATTAACGAATGGAAAATTTCCGATTTATTATGAAATTCTGTTTTCACGGCTTTATTTATGGGTATTTATAACACACGCAGGATAATTTACTTTCGCGCACTCCTGTTAATCGGTACTTATTATGGGTAATCACCTTTGCCGATTCAATAACTGCTACTTACGAACCGGGCCCCCAAGAAATGGACCTCTGTCTATTTTATTTTACACCGCTAATAATAAACGGGATTAGATTTCAATAAAATTTCATATTCACGCACATACGGAACTTTATGCACACAAAGTTCCCCTAAATGAAGGGTAAAAAGCAATTAACTTTAAATTGTAACTACGTGACGCCCGTTACGCAATGCGCGTCGAATCGCAAGAGGCAATTCGCGTCGAGCCGTCAGTCAAGTCAAGTTAACAACCTGTAAATTACAGCGGGGTGGATATTTATGTTGCGTTATTCGATTACGCGTCGAACCGTGAAAGTCTATTGTGACGTAAGTTGACTCTTCTTATACTCAACCTCGCCGCATAAAAGGCCATCTAGCTCAGGAATACATAATTAAAAGAGAATTACTGCGTTTGGGCATAAAATCTTCGTAGCTTACTCGTATGGTTGAGCGCCACCCAGTTTCGTTAACTGCCCCTTTCCCTGTATAAAACTGCCAAGGTACCAAGGAAAGAAACAATGAAATTAACTAAAGAAATGCTGATATATTTTCTTCAATGACAATCGATATCACTTCAATAAACTAACTTTCCCCTACTAATACAAACAAGTATAAATTGTGCACAACTCTTGTGCAGATAAAGAGCATTTTTTAAAAACCGAAATAGCTTTTGTTTTGACATCACCAATAGATATATTTCTTGCAGACGTCTCAGTCGCCCTTTGTAAGTACCCTCTTCCGACAATCCGTTCTTGAGGTATAAAGGAATATACCCGATCGCGATAAGACGTCGAGGAGGAGGGCTATGGTTGGTAGAAATTAATTCTTTTCGTTGAGACGTTTCATTAGAGTACTATGAAGGATAAAAGTAGTTCCACCCCCCTCCACTCCGTACTTTGATAAGAGAACAAAAAGAAGGGCAGTAGTCGGTAGAAAATTAATTTTTAACTCCTCCCCCCCTCAGGCCCCGTCGCTCAGTAATCTCAAAAAAGAGTCGCACGGAAAAGTTATAGTTTGTACAAACCAATTTATTTCGATGAGACCTTTCATTAGAATACCATGAAGGGTAGAGCATGTGTTTACCTCCCCCCCCCCCATTTTCTAAATTTTAATTTGGCACCACTAAAGGCATGCGTATGCAAAATCTGAGACCAATTGGTTGTCGTATGTGAAATTTATGCACGTTTTACTTTCAAAACCAGCATCTCAGGAAATAATTCGTGGGGGGGGGGGGGGGGGGGCCTTTTAGACAGAGAAATTTGATGGCCGTCTGGCACACCTTCAAGATATAGACGGACAAAACGCAAACAATAGCACTTTTTTTACATTCTTAAAAAATGCGCTAAATATCGCATAGATAATAGAGGTACAAGTACCAAAATTAAATAGTCTTACCCTTAATGAAGTAAACGCGGTCGCACAAAAGAGCTTTCTTCGAACGATAACAGTCTAAAACAAAAGAAATAAAAGGAGAAACATCATCCCTTACTCAGTGGCTCGGTAAACCGCGTACAAAATCATGTGGATGACGACAATGATTTACAAACAAATAATGACATTAAAATCGAAATATGTCGTTGAAATATTCCTTGAAGAGGAAACTATTCGATAATTACTAAAGTCATTTTAAATCCAGTAGTTTATTCCAGTTGACCCGATGACGCTATGATTGCAGGTTAGCCAAGATTAAATGCTGACTTTGATTTCGCGTTTACCATCCGCTCAAAATTGCAGTCGTGGGACGTATCAGGGGTCTTGATATGAAACTTACGTTAAGCCTTGTAATGAACGTACACTGGTTATACGTAAATTGGTTCCATCCTCCAAATAAAGCGAATCTCCTTAAAAGAAGAAAGCACAAGATAACGAATGGATTTGCAAATGGCTGTCTGCCACTTACGTAATGAGAAATCCTATTATAAATCCTCCAAACCCGAGCAACTCGTCCAAAACAACACCGAGAAATCTCACAGCAGCAGGTGGAATAATAATTCGCTTCATAGTTTGTGATTAAAACCACTTGGATTGTATTGACACACTCCGCTCACTAGAAGTGAATACAGAACCGGAAGAGCCAGGAAAAAATGACTGCGTGGAGCAAACGAAATGACAGATACGATTTATATATAAAGGACCCTTCGTCGTCCGTTGCGAATCGTGTTCGGCGAATAGCTTGTTTTAGAGGTCCAAAAACATGGAAGTCACAGGGTGAAAGGTAGAGACTATACGGCGGATGTTCCAGCGTGTCCCATTGAAATGTTCGGTAGTAGACGATAACTTGTGTGACCATGTCCTCTTCGGTGTGAAACCAGACTGGACCTATGCACGTGTCAGTTCTCTACCAATGGATGGCGCCACCATACCCGTAGTTACGTGGTGCCACCCTACATGTAAGTCACTTACTAGGTCATTTAAATGTACCTAGAGTTACAGTGGTCTCTAACCAAAAATTACAGTGACCATCAAACAAAATAAAAGGTTGTAGGTACTTTTATGTTCTGTTACACTCTAGCAATGCAGCTCGTCCATCCGACTTTAGAATAACCTACTTTAACTAAATCCCTCGTATTTGCTTTAGATGTAGGTACTACGCATAACCTAATACCAAGAAGCAGAAGTAAAAGAATAATCAGATGCAGAGGCAAAGGCAGAGACAGAATCAATATGAAGAAACAGGAAGACACCATCATTCTCAAGGTAACGGAAGCAAGAGACAGAGGTTGTAGCAAAATTCGAAGAAAGAGTAGGCATAGGCGAAAATTGAGCTGGGATGCTGGGAGTTGAAAGGAATATTATGGGAAGAGAAAAAAGGCACAGAAAGCGAATGTGTAACAGTACTGTCGTATACAAGAAGACTTGTGATTGGTCGACGGTCTTCCACGTAAAAATATCTATCTTCTGATCTTTTCGTCAATACGTTCTTAGTTCTGATCCGTCTGAACCCACCATTTTGACTCCAGCGCATTTTTTAACCTTAGGCCCTTTGACGCATTTTCCGGCATACGACTATAGTAATATTAATATTAGCAGATTAGATCGGTTTCAACTCATCGATCGGATGATACACGTTTTTTGGAAAAGGTGGAAATTAGAATACCTCACAACTCTACAGGTACGATCGCAATGGAACACAGAACATAACCCCGTGCAAATTGGCACCATTGTTGTAGTAGAACAGCCAAATACTCCACCATTGCAATGGCCCTTAGGGATTATAGAAAAGATGTATCCTGGAAAAGATCACCATTGCAATGGCCCTTAGGGATTATAGAAAAGATGTATCCTGGAAAAGATCAAGTCGTACGAGTTGTAGACGTCCGTACCAAATATGGTACTTATCGCAGACCAGTTATTAAGGTTTGCCCCTTGCCTTCACAATAGTTTTTTTTTATTTTTTTTATTATTTAACGTTAAATTTAATTGGATATTAATTTTGGATATTTCATTAATTTGTCTCATGAACTTTATAGTTATTTTTGTGTAGCTTTCTGAAGCCTGAATGCAACCTTCATCCCGGGGGGAATGTTGATGCCGATGATTAAATTTCAGTTTCAAATAGTATTATTTTCATTTTTGTGTAGATGGAGTATGCGTTGATTTAATTTTTAGTTTGGGAAATTGTGATACATTATTGATAACATTTTTCAATTCAATAGTTGTTGTTGGTAAAGTGCTATTGCGTGTGAGGTGTCTTGGTCTTTTTTGGCGTCGTCATTGGTAGTGTTGGGCATTCGCTTATCTGTCAATTAATTAAATCTTCTCCATCCTGTTTTCTTCCTTTCCCTCGCCATATTCTCCTTGTATCAGAAAAGAAAAAAAGAAAAAAATAGCAATTGAACGACGACAGGTAAGTGATATATTTTGCCTATTTCAATTAACTAAAACACACAGAATCCTACGTCCACCAAAATTTAGGAATCATAAACGTAAAAATAACCAGGAAGAAAATTTCGTTTAGAAGAAAAAATAAACCCATAAAGAGAGTCTAAAAAAAGCGGCAGGCCACCTCGGTGTGACCCCACGGAGTCATTGGATTTGACCCATTTTCAGTAGGCTTATTACTTGTAGCATATAGGTCAACTGTGCACAGTTTCAACCAAATCGGTCCAAGCGTTTGACAGTTATCGTGTTCACGGACAGACGGACACCATCGACTCCCCTAAAAAGCTTGCATCGCTTTGCTCTGCCGCTTAATAAGGAAATGCCGCCAAACACGCAACTGTTCATGTGCCAACTGTAGTTACCTACCTGCAACTAAAGAAGTTGTTACGAACACCAGAAAATTCCGATTACTTTCGAAGATATATCAGAAAAACAACAATCTGCCGATTTCGACTTTATTTTCTCTAATTCTGATGTTATGCAGATACAAAAAAAAAACACTTTCTCATTGCCAGTATTTCAGATCCACAAGATGGCGTTGCGAGAAATCATCATCTTTGAATATAAAATTTTATATTCAAAGTCATCATCAACTCTATTTTTTTATATGGTCCGTAGAAAAAAGTATATACAGGATGTCCCATTAATAATGGTCACAGGTCATATTTATGGAACCGTTAATTGCACAGCTTCGGGAAAAAATTTTTATCAAAATGGGTCAAGAGAAATCGCTGTGAAATTTGTTGATTGTGATGTAAAAGATATGTGTCGAGGGATAGGTGTCGACCTATAAAAGTAAAGTTGGTTGTTCTGAGATAACCGTCAGGTCATACGCGTTAAGCCGCGAACGAAGTAACTCGACACCCTGAAAATTACCGTGGGGTGTGTTTTATTTGTGAAAATAGAATTCGCGCATGGAAGTGAGGTAGGATTAAGTTAACTGCCTGCAAGTTAGGACAGAGTGGTTTTATGTACTGGTGAAATTGGTGTGATCTGTAACTCCCATTTGTATTACAGTAGAACCCCGATGATCCGTGTCATGCAGATATTTCAGGGGGTGATAGTACTCGTCAAAATAAGAAAAATGTAACCATATGCAACTAACTATTTTGAAATTGTAGAGATCCTAAAAAATAATTGATGTATCAAATTTGAAACAATTATCCCAGAACGTAAGAGCGGCAACGCAAAGTACGAGATTTTGAAAAACGGTTTTCACTGGCCTCTTTGGATGTTATTTTGTTACTTTTTTATAAAGAAAAAGTCATACCATTCCATTTGATTTTTTTTATTTTTTTTTACCCATAAAACGCCCTCAGTGCCTGCTGAGAACCCAGTTACTACACAACTTAGGTGTCCTACATGACGATCACGATCTTAGTGCACTTCGAGTGTCCCCGAGTGACAGATTCTCGCGGGAAACTTAAGCGAGAATATTCAAATAGACAGCCATGTTAGTTTGGCATTCCCGCTACTACAGAATATGGTCAAATATTCCGGTGTGACTTGAAGTTGGCGTTAGCCCGGCAAGATAGAAGGAGGCTAAGATCATTACATCTTTTTAAAAATGTAAAAACAAGTTTTAGTTTATTATGGGAAATTTAAAGAAAATGCAATTTTAACATATTTAAGATGGCAGTTACGCCCTCTGGTGGTCATTTTTAGAACTTGAAAATATTTTCCAGCGATTCTTCATGACCGATTTACCCAAAAAAATTTTTACCCCTAAGTCGACGAACGGTTCCCGAGATATGGTCGAGGAACAGTCTTATTGGTATATTATTGGCTTGACACTGTAGTAAAAACTTGAGGGGAGATGTTAGCTATCATGACCTGTGCACAGGAGAACCTCTGTAGAGGTTAGCGTAGGTATGTGTAGTGCCCTGTCAGAAGGAAGGTTCCGATCGGCTACGGCGCTAGATTACAGGCGACGACGTGTAGATAGATTAGGTGAGTGCAGTGGAGTAAGTTTAATCTGAGTCCCAGCTCACTGCGGAATAAGGGGAAACTAAGGGTCAGACGAACTGGCTCGTGAAGACAGTGGCGGGGGCTTCGTCGAGCCTACCCCAGGAAGTGCTCTCTCCGTTCACGACGCGCTCTGCAAACGGTCGCTTGACGAATGCTTCTTTTCGACAATCAATTAATCAATCAGTCAATAAAGCGAGGTCTATTTTAATTTAATACAGATGAAATAGCAATGGCGTTAGTGATGAAAGAATGGTGGGCTGGTCAGGACTTTTGCCCTTATTTTAACTCATATTTATAGGTACCACAATTTTCAGCTTTGACAAAATAAGCGCTTTCACCGATGTATAAATACTTACCTCTGCGCTTTCATAAGCTTTCTGGCATTCAATATTCGGTAACGAAATACGTATTCAACTCATTTACTCGTCCCAAATATACTACACGAAATAAAATTCCACGAGATTATTACTTTATATAGGTAGCTAATTCCCGTTCAGCTTCCTTACTTTACCTAAATAAAAAGAAACCAACTTTTGGGTTATAAAAGTAACTGAAACAATTAATTTCCTTTCAATGGAAACATCTCGAATTCAGAGTGACTTTAAAAAATTCGGGCTTTTCTTATGACTTAAGGCTATTGCAGGTTTGTTGGGTCAAAGAGAGGCACACACATTCATATATTTGTATTCAGTATATGTATCACAAGTTATGATTATGCATAATTATATAAAAGTGGACAATACAGTACAAAAAGTACAAAATTATTATAAAAAGCTACATCCCTAATATGGACAGACATTTTTATCTCATCTTCATAGTATGAACAGTCAGTAATGTCTAACATTATTAAAAACTCCTAAATATTATACTAAGTTTAACTCTATTATATAAGTATGATGTATAATAAATAGTTACAATATGAAGGATAGATTACATCACGGTTTTGTCGTACATTCCTCATAGAAGCTTTATCAGAATTACATTCGTTCTATATACTTACCTAAATTTCATTAATAATTAATAATACTATACACATAAGTGCACAATTGTACGTGTATAAAGCTACAACGCAAAGCTTAAATATATCTGGAGATCTCCATACATTGATTTCTCACACACATCTCAAAATGACACCATTTTGAAACATCGATTCATCTTCTTTCATTTGGCAGTGTGTGGTGGCTCAAATAATTAATGTACAGAATTGGTTTCGTTAACGAAGATGGTTTGTCGCAATTGATATGCTTCTTTTTTTTACATTAAAAACTAGAGATATGTACAACTAATGCTAATCTCTCTCATTTATTAGAAAACTATAAATAAATAAGTACAAGCATTGGGAGTAGAAAAGGGACAGACATTCGACTCGAACACACGATAAATTCTTTGCAAGTAAGGCGGGCAATTTTTTTTATAATGGAAGCGTTTTCTTCTCTCTCTCTCTCATCATTTTAACATATTGCTCTAAAGTGTCTCTATAATCTAATAGTTAAAATTTGGTTTACGCCTGAGCTATACATAAAACTATTTACATTGACTTTAGAATTTTTTCAGTTTCTTTTACCAGATCTTCAAACGACGGCCTCTCCTGCGGGTTTATATTCCAACACGTTTCCTGCAAAAGTTATAACGATTAGTATAGGTAGGCGACGGTAGACGACAGCAGTACTTGTAGTTTTTGAAGATCATCAGGTGTATTCTTGTGCGATTTCCAATCGAGCGCCTTCTCCTTGAGCTTTGCCAGGAACGTGGTATCGTTAATTTTCGGAAAGGGAAGTTCGCCCTGACTGAACACCTCCAAAATGACAACCGCGAAAGCGTAAACGTCACTCTTCGTCGAGTATTCGTCCTCGTAAACCGCCTCGTAGGGCAACCACCGCAGCGGTATGATCTAAAAGGAATAGGTGGCGAAAAAAAGTGCAAACTAAATTGGTAAAACGTACGTTATTGATATGCTTGCAATATTCTTGGCTATAAGGTTCCTTGGTGAGCCGCGGTAGGGCGACTTTGGCGGTCAGCGTTGACGTGATTAGGCAATTTCGCGCGGCCAGATCTCGATGGACGAATCGTGCCGCCGACAGGTGCTCCATGCCTCTCGCCAGATGGTGAATTACGGCGACGGATTGTACCGGTGTTAGGCTCTGAGATGTACCCTTTCGGGTTGCTGTCAGAAATTGTTTCAGGTCGCCCTAAAATTTGATCGATTGATGTCTATTAAATTTTATTGTTTGAAATCCTTTTCATTTTTGGTGTAAATGTTTGCTGAATTTATGGTTATGGTTATTCATTTAAATAATTATATGAAAATTATACAATTTTTTGATGTTTGTATGGGGCATGGGCTGGTATGTAAACTAACACCTTTCGCCGTTAAGAGACAATCGCATGAATGGTAACCAAACTAACTACGACATCTAAAGCTGTGACGGATCTCGAATCTCAATTGTACGTTTGAAAATTCCGCACGAAGACCAAGGTTATAAGTAGGGAATGCAATCCCGCGGCAAAATTTCGATTCCGCAAAGTTTTAAATATATTGGGAAGTATGCAATTTTGTGCGGTTAACCGAATATTCTCGAATCAATCATATCGTATTTCCCGGAAAGGATGCGTCCCATCCGCTTTTTCCGCCTCCATGTTTATCTGGATTTCAAGAATATCCATAATTAATACAGCCATACTGTACTACTAAAGTCTTTATAAACCATCGACGAGTATATATAGGGTGTCTTAAATTGAGTAGGATACCGTTATTGTTATACATTCGGAAAGTTGTGTAGTTTTTGATGCTGGTAAATATTCTGATGCGATATTTTGAAAAAAATAAATCGTTTCGTAGATCATTGGAAAAAAGTGACAATCGCTATTTTTAAAAAGGTAAATATTTTAGTAACAAAGAGGGCTATCGAAGAAATTTACTAATAAAAGTTGCAAGATTCAATGGGATAATTTCAATGAACGTAGAAAAAACATTTTCAAAATGGCGGTTTTCGAGTTATTGACATCAACTTCTTTATTTTAAATGGACGCCATATTGGATTTGTACGTCATTAGACAGAGAAAAAATTACAAAACCAGCGATACTCAGTATTTCATTTGTATTTGTCATAGTTCCATAGCTGACTGTGATTGAAACCAATTTCATTCGTTTATTAATTGTCTCGCATAGTCACCATCGACACGACCAGGGAATTACTGCCATCAGAAATAGTTACATTGTAAACTTCAAGGCAAAAATGCAAGGTGGATTCCCAAATGAAATATTAAATGTTTGTATCACTGGTTTTGTAATTTTTTTCTCTGTCTAATGACGTACAAATCCAATATGGCGTCCATTTAAAATAAAGAAATTGATGTCAATATCTCAAAAACCGCCATTTTGCAAAATGTTTTTCTACGTCTATTGAATTTATTCCATCGAATCTTGCAACTTTTATTTGAAACTTTTTTTGTTGTTTTTGAAACTTAATTTTTGCAATAACTATTTTAGAACATTTTTTATTTCAATAAGGGTGTTTTTTAGCACTAAAAATTGATCTGCTTACCCAATCTGTATACTCGAGGATCATGTAATGTGGCTCCACCTCTCGACACAACCCCCACAACTTCGCAACGTTCTCGTGCGACACCTTGGAGAGGAGATCGATTTCCCTTTTAAATTCGGTCAGGGCCGCCTCGTCTTTGGTGTGCGTGAGCGACTTCACCATCACCGTCAGATCCTTGTCCTCGCCCGACAAACTTGCGTTCGAGCCGCGTTTGTCGCTCACTGGCACTGCGCTCTTCGGCAAGAAGGCGATCAGTATGTCACCAAACTCGCCGCGCCCGATCAGCTTCAGGTCTTTCAGGTGCGATCGAGAGAGCAGGATCTTGTCGTAGCTCGATTTCGATTTTTTCGACTGGGCGGAGCTCTGCGAGTGCGCCGTCTCCGTGCCGTCGCTCTTCTGGCCCTCCTTGTGCGCGTTTTTCAGGCCGTCCTTGTCGGGCTGCGACGATCCGGGCGCGACCCCGTTCGGCGCCTCTTTCAGTTCGGTGTGGTCGACGTCGCCGTTTTCGATTTTGGCACCGTCCGCTATGGGCAGCTTGCGGGACCTGCGCCGGTAGCGGCACCATATCATGAGGCCAATGACTAGGATTATGTACGCAGTCGCCACCGACATTGTTATGAGCACCGCCTTTGTTACAGTTGAATCTTCCGCCTCGTTTCCTTCCGGGTGGTAACCCTCGCGTGCTGTAAAAGAGCAAGTTTATGCATGGAAATGTAACCAGTGCACACCAAGAATCACAAAAGGGAATTAATTAATAACTGACGATTAGTGGTAAAAGTAGTCTGAGGGTTCTGATAACGCTCAAGAAGCGCCATTCAATTTGTTTGTCGTTCTTTGGGCTGCAACAGTTTATTCAGTTTTAAACGAAGGATAAACTTATCGCGTAGAGCATCAGTCAACGTAAACAATTTTCGGACGACGCATTATCTTAATGGCAAACAATTTTGGATTAAGTACTTAAAATTTAAGTGTATGAAGTAGAAATGGATACTTTCCGTTTTCTGTAAAAAAAAAAACAGAGTTACATAAATTGACGAATGTGCCTGGCCAGTAAGGACACTAAAACAGCCCCCAACGCGTCGTCATCTTCAAAATTTCCCCGGAGTCTCCAATTGCAAGACACTTAGCTATACCTGACTAGTCGTCTGTCAACCGCCCAGTTATCTAGACAATCCGCAATTGGGGTTTAAGGTCAAGGCCGGGCAAAAAAAAACTAATCGGACCAAACCAAAACCCAAAGAAGCCTCTGGTAGAACATTAAAAACACCCACCAAGGTGACTCCAAGGGAAGTTGAGGAAAGCCCAACCAGACGAGCAATAAGCCTAGTCATGGCTCAATTAAAGTGAAACGAAAGGTGAAAAACACCAGCAGGGTTACGAAAGGGGACGTCCCTTATACACCTTCAGCGCCCTGTTCATCAAAGACAATCTATACGTGGCCCTTATACAGGAACCGTGGCTTGATAACTCCCTTATCAAGGGTTACCTATGCTAATTCTGCAGAGACTCTGAAGGGGCAACAATTGTCCCAGGGCAGCGGTTTTCGTAAAGCCGAAACTAATAACCCTTTCCTTATTCAGAGTTCATAACAAAAGACCTAGTGACTTTAGTGGTCGAAGAGCCAATCAGCACCGGTGCAAAATAGTGTGTGCTTTGGGGAGAAGGAGGCAGCAATGCCTCCGCCACCGGAGGTACGAAGGCTGAGCAGATGCTGTAAGGAGCAGGTGCTGCATCTTCTTATCAAATGTGACGCCAACTCCCAGATAGTCAGAGGAACTAGAGATACTCAATCAGGGCAATCAGACAACATTTGTAACCAGAAACAGGAAAGAAGTCCTAGATGTTACAATTTCCTCCTCCTTCCCAGCAGGCAGATTAGTGTGATAGAGAGTCTGTGATGAGTCTTGCTCTATCAATCCGCAGACAAATATGTTTTAGTTGAAAGTAATAGTAGGGAAACAAAATAAACCAAACATTGTACGAGGACTTATTGAAAAGCAACACCGCAGGACTCTGCATGACGGTGATCGATCAAGTTGATCTAGAACGACTTGCCACACTATTCACTGATACCCTTCTCTCCTCCTCTGAGAACAGCTGTCCGCTGAAGCGGGTTACAACAAATAGAAACGCTAGAACGTCCCTCACTGGGTACAGTAAGGCGATTCGGAAGGCAAAAAGAGCCTCTTGGGAAAGATTCTGTGAGACGATAGAAGAAATTCCCACAGCCTCTCGCCTACGGAAGATCCTTTCAAAAGAGAAACTCGTTGGGGACAATGGTGGGATCAGACGGGGAACGCACCAGCCTAACTAGAGAGACTTTCCGGGTTCCTTTGTCAGAGGGAGGACATCAGAAGGTCCCCATCTTTCCGTCCTACCAACAGATTCGACTACAGTCTTAAAGGTAAGTTCATAGCTCTCCGTTCATACGTTTCCGTTTGTCCGTTAGCCAATCAGAAGACAGCAAATTTTTAAATCGTACGTCGTCCGTTTACGACGGAAAAGTTGGTTGAAGTTGAACATTTACGTTTCCGTTGGTCGGTTTTTAACAAGAGTGAGGTTATGTTGGGTACGTTAACAGTGTTCGCCTATTCGTTCTTCACGGTAATAATCAGATAGCAACGTGTTCTTACTTTCGTACTATTTTTACATACTGAAAATCACGGAGGGTACAGTACAAAATAAAATTTAGGTTATGGTTATACGTTGCAAATGTACACTGTGGACGGATTGCTATGAACCTTAACAAAATGTACTATCCGTTTGACGGATCAACGCAACAGATGAACGGAGAGCTATGAACCCACCTGTAGGCCCGGTTGTGTACAATGTCAGATTTGAGAAATACGATTGGCCAACTTGTGAAATATTAGCCAATCAAATCCTTTAACCCACAATTCTACCCAATTCTATCTACCTATAAACTGAAGTTTAAACTGACATTATACAACCGGGTCTTAGTGGTCGTATATTTACACCAAAAAGGGTCCATTGCACGTGCGACACGTGGAGGTGACCTTGGAAAGTCGCGTCACGTGGGTAAAAATGGTTTCATTGGCCTTGGCTAACCTCGTGTGTAAACACGCCAAAAAATGAGGTCGTCGACCTTGGATTACTTCAAGCGTGTAATTTGGTAACGCAAAAATGGGGTCATTCACCTTGTACACCCTTGACATTGTAATTAGACACCACATAAAAATGACATCATTCATGATGGACATCAGGATGTTGGATGATCTCCGACATGTAATTTGACACCACAGTAGAATGGGAAATTGACCAGCAGAAATGTAATTGACCACCACAAAAGATGAGGTCATTGAACTTCTACGACCTTTATACAATTATGGGCCGGCCGATTCTCCTTATAACAGGGACTGAGACATTAACACCCATCCTAGTACAACTTTTTAGGGGGATAGCTACCCCTTAAGCTATATTACAAATGTTACATCAGTGGCTATATCCCCACATCAAAGACTGGTGGGAGGTAGGTGCGGTTTTCATTCCTAAGATAGGCGAGAAGTCCAGGGTCCAACCGTAGCCTACCGATAGAACTAGCCGTGACACTCATCCCCACTATTGCGTTGACGTCACAACTGACGGCGGCCGTCATATCGACTTTTAATGTAATTAATTCCAAGTAGTTTAATGTTGTACACTTAAATTAACTGTATTCGAACAGAATAAGTAAGAAAATGCCAAACACGTGCTGCGTCCCTGGTTGCAAAAGCAATTATAGTTCAAGAGACAAGGTTCCTTACGGTTTTTCGTTTTTCGAAAAATGAAGACGATCAAAAAAAGTGGTTAAGATGTATTCGCCAGGACAATTTGGAAATTACTAGTTACTCCAGGGTTTGTACAAAGCATTTCCCCAGCATTTTCATTATTCGGGTAGACAAGATGACTAGATAAGACGATACAGTATTAACAGTTCCACGAGGCCAGATTAAACTTGCCGAAGACACGTACCCCACCATTTTTGAAAATCAGCCATCATATATATGAAAAGGATGTAAATGATGAGTAACGGGAAAATATAGACCTATGCAACTACAAATGACCGAAAACCTGTAGTCTCTAGATGGTCCAGGGGCTGAGATCTCGATGGAACAGACAGATAGGCAGACGACGGAATAACGAGCACATAAGCGTACCTCAACTTCGTTTTGTTACGCTAAAAAAGGCAGATGTGTGTATTAGAATGTTTAAATTTTATTTGTTTTCAGCTCGGTTTTCAGTGAGTATTTGTTGTATATGTACGTATTTAATAAAATTTTTGCATAATAACACGTGTCTATAATTAGGAAACAACATATAACATTCCTGCGGCTCAAAATAAGTAATTACTAAATGTTTTCGCGTTAAATGAGTATGCACGCGAATCAAATTGCATTTAAACACATAGTATCGCGTTGCAGTGGCCCATCTCCAGTTGTGACGTCACCAAATCAATGTCACGGCTAGATCTATCGGTAGGCTACGGTTCAACCCAAGAGCTACTGACATATCAGCCTATTTCGTTTCGTCCTTCATTTTTAAAACGAGGGAGACGATGAGGCAGAATAGGGCAATACATCAACCAACATGCATAGGTACCAAAGGGGACGCTGTACGAAGCAGCAAGAGACAAAGCTATATCGGTCATACATAGACCTGGTCACTGCACACGGGCCGTTGAGTGGGGTAGTTGGGGATCACACATATCACTTCTGCTTAGAGGAGGAAAAGGCGCAGTGGAATACATTGTCTGCTGGTGTGAGGCTGCCTTTGGAAAGAGATCACAATCTGGGGGGAGGCTCCTCAGCAGGTCAGGGTATTTTAAGAGTTGCCATTAATCTGAAAAGGCCTTTGATATTCTTCAGTCTCAATTTAAAGCCTTTAGTTTACATGCTCAGTGTTTAAAGGAATGCCTTACGAAGCTCTTAAGGGTCTTTGAAACTCTTTATATAATATTATTCTGTGTTCAAGGTATTGCCTTTGTAAGTTGTTTGTGAAGGTTTTAAGAAATTTCTACATAAATATGTTGTTTTCCAGTTTACAGTACTCCTTTGTTGCAAGCGCTGGTTTTGCCTGCCATCCCGCAATATGAATTACTGACCGATTTACGTGTTTTATTTATATTTAGATACAGTATGTTCCCTTAGGGATGATATTCAATACAAGTATGCAAAACTACTTTTTCATTTATAATTGAATTTATTGCAGCACATTTCCCTTTTGTTTGCATCATGAATATGTTACTGTTTATTTACAGGGTGCTTCAGCTGGGGGCGAGTGACGTACGTTAGGTGGGTGATTGTTACATATTGCACTTGACATTGAGAATTACTTAATTACTTTATACTAATATTTTGCCACGACATGTTCCTTTGCTTTGTTGTAATGTGATACTTAACGATATGCTCCTACTATTTATTTGAACCGGGTGATTATGATTATTAATATTTGGCAGGGTGACTTGTTTCGAATATGTACTGCGCTAAAGTTCATAACTGACATACGCAGAGATATATATTTTATGTACTGTTCTTTTTGTGCCTTAGAAAAGAGCCACCTTGCCGATATTGCTAATCATTGCGTTGAGTCGACCCTTGGCATGTAGTGTCTGAATATTGGGTTTGTGTTAATCTTTGTTATGCCAGTGCAAATATGTCAACTGTCAAAGCCTACATGAATGTTATATATTTTGTTTATCTCTGGTTTATGATTATTATGCGTGCGAGTTTGCCGATGGTTGCTCTCACTTTTGTGGTTTTTGGTGTTGCACCCATATATGCGCTAGTTTTACGCCAATATGTACATACTGTGGACAATAAGACGGATTTCTTTCCGATTCAGACCGGCACTGCTTCCAGCCGTGCACCCGTAGTTATTTTCGTCCTCCCTGTGCACCTCTTTAATGTACAGTGTGCCGTTATCCAAAACTTGAAAGCGAGAACGATTGAAGTCGTTCATCTGCAAGTTCTTGTCCCAGTGGATCGTCGGTTTCGGATCCCCGTCGGCCACGCAGTCCAACATTACCGAGAAGCCCTCGATCGCCTCCGTCGGATTGTGGGAGAGTAGCGTGAACTTCGGCGCCACTACGGAAAAATCAACAGATATTAATTGCTCCTTCCACCGACTCCACGACTTACCGACAACATCAATCGTTAACGTAACGTTAATAGTGCCCTGGGTGTTACTCGCGAAGCACGTGTATCTGCCTTTATCTTCGCTTAGGACCCCATTAAAGTGGAGAGTTCCGTTCGTGTCGGCGATGTGCGCGTCGAAACCGTCCCCCTTCCCGTCCTTCTCCCAGCGTATCGTCGGCGGCGGCGTTCCCTGGGCCTTGCAGTGAATTTTCGCCGTGCTCCCCAACTCCAACTTTTTATTTACGGGAGGAGGCGAAAACTTCAGTATCTCTGAAATTTCACGCGTTGCAACCATGGGCGGCGATCGACGTGGAGGAACTCACCGATCACTGAAATTGTCGCGGATTTCGACACGAGCGGCTCGAATCCCGCCGTCGTAATCTCGCAAACGTAGTCGCCACGATCGGACGGTTTCGTGGAATAAATGACAAGGGTGCCGTTTTGCTTGAACGCTCGTATCCGTTGGTGCGAGGTGGTCTCCTCGTCGTAGTCGTGCTTAAGAACTTTCCCGTCTTTCTTCCATTTGACCACGGTGTATTGTTCGGATGCATTGTCGACATCGTGGAGGCAGGTCAACACCGATTTCTTATTTTCTTCAACCGCCATACTGTTAGGGCCCTCTATGATGGATGGTTTTCCTAAAAAAAAGTAGCAAAATGTTAAAACAAGTAAAAAGGTTTTCGCCCTAAAGCGCATTTTCCATGAATGATCAGTACTTCTCAAAAGGCCATAGCTATGTGCGCTGTGATTTTCTTTACTAGAGGCATCTATGGTTAAAATTTCAAATAAATATCTCCATAAACAAAAAAGTTGGCATTTTGCAGTCTGCGCATGCGTGGATTTGTTTTTTAATATGTGCGATATGTTTACTTTTCCTAATGACATTTGTAGTTTTCGATTTTTACTAATGTGATATGTTTTTCTTTACTAGAAACATTTATGGTTAAAATTTGGGACTGACTGCGCATGCGCACATCTAATTTTTGGAATATCAGTTATGTTTGCCTTTAACAGGAGCATCTATGATTAAAATTTCAAAAAGATATCTCGATAAATAACAGTTGATATTAAGCATCCTGCGCATGTGCGCATTAATCTGATGTTTACAATATGCGATACGTTTGCTTACACTAAAAGCAACTTTGGCTACAATTTCAAAGAAATACCTCCATAAATAAGAAAGTTGCCATTGCGCAGTCTGCGCATGCGCACATCTGATTTGTACTATATGCGATATGTTTGCCTTCTCCAGAAATATCTGTGGTTAAAATTTCAACAAAATATATTAATAAATAAGAAAGTGGACATTGCGCAGCCTGCGCAGTGCGCATGCGCACATTAATCTGATGTTTACAATATGCGATACGTTTGCTTACCAGGCTCAGACTCACGATAAAAAACGCATCAAAACAAAAATCGAAATCACAAGAACATCCATTTACAAAAATGGGGTCCGGAGCCAAATGATTCAGGAACAGAATCAGAAACAGCTAGAGAAGAACCACTGTCATAGTACGATCAGACCTAAAACCAGAATTGGAATCACTTCAACAATAAAAATCATAACCAAAATCATGATTTACGTTAAGATCAGGATCAAGGTCCATCTTAGAATGAAAAGTCGACGCTGAGCCAAAGTAATAAAAGGATTCTTTTCGATTCTTGATCCGAATGCGATTCTGATCTTTATCCTGCACTGGACAATGACTTAATCATAACGCTTGTTTTGATCCTAATCCCTATTATAATTCTGATTGACAGTGAGTGTGGTTATGATTCTGATTCGAAATTGGATTCTGATTCTGATTCAAAATTGAATGTGGATTATGATTCTGAAATTTTGGTTATATGTTCTGACTTTAGATTATGGTCTTGAATTAGTGCGCCGATCATGTTTTCTGCTTCTTATTCGGAATCTATTGTGGATTGTGATTCCGATTGTGATACTGATTCAGCGTACTATGTTTGATGGCCCTAATTCCGCCTTTTACCCAGGAACTTATTCCTGATGTAATTTTGACTTTTTGACTCTTTCTTCGAATCTGCATCTTGTTATTGTATTGTCTCTGGCTCATTCCTGGATGTGAATTTGGATCATATTTTGGTTTTGATCGTGACTCTGAGATAATGATTCTGGCAAGGGCATTGGACCTTATTTTGATTCTCAGTATCTTTCTAGGTTTGTAATTTACTCTGACTAGAGATTTGGTCCAGTCTGATGATTCTGGTCCTTGATCTGAATTTTGTTATTATTGGGATTCGGACTATAATATTTGACTTTTCTCTGCCACAACCACCAGAATCACTATCACAGTCGGAGGGTGAAAGGTCATTTCAAAAACCAGAATCAACATCAGTATTAACAGAATCAAATTGTAGATCTACAATAAAGGTCAAGGAGCAGGATTAAGTTCAGGACCACGGTCAAAAACAAGGTCAGAATTAGGGGAAAAGTAGGAGAGGATCTACTGGAATCACAACCGACACCATCAGAACCAGACTAAAACCGCAATATCCACCTGGATTATCGTAATCAGAATCATAAACTTATGTAGGATGTAGTGTCCGACTTATATTCAGTCATATGTTCAGAATCTAGATCTGAATGACAATCAAAGTTATGATCCGGATTAGATTCAAGAGTAGCATCAAAATCATGGTTCGAATCGAAACCATGGTCACAGATCGGGTCACTATGCGGATTAAGTTTACAACCAAGGCAAAAGTCAAATTCCGGGTCAGACTCACGATAAAAAACTGCATCAAAACAAAAATCGAAATCATAATAACATCCATAACAAAAATTAGGTCCGGAGCCATATGATTCAGGAACAGAATCAGAAATAACTAGAGAAGAATCAACAAATCTAGTTCAGAATTACAATCGGAACCACTTTCATAGTACAATCAGACCTAAAACCAGAATCGGAATCACTTTAACAATGAAAAGCATAACTAAAATCATGATTTACGTTAAGATCAGGATCAAAGTCCATCTTAGAATGAAAAGTCAACTCTGAGCCAAAGTAATAAAAACGCTTCCTTTCGATTTTTGATACGTATGCGATTCTGATCTTGATAATGATGATTCTGATTCAAAATTAAATGTGGATTATGATCCTGATATTTTGATTATGATGTTCCGACATTAAATTATGGTCTTGAATCAGTTCGCCGATCATAATGTTTTTCGTCTCTTATTGTGAATCTATTTTGACTTGGGATCATGATTATTATGATTCCGATTGCGATACTGATTCAGGATTCTGTCTGATGGCCCTAATTCTGAATTTATTCCTGATCTAATTTTGACTTTGGCTTTAAGTTTGACCTTTACCTGAGCCTTGGTCCTCATATCAACGCTGATCTTTACGCAAGTTTTGATTCTGATTTTGCTGTTGATATGGATTCGTACGCATGGTATGATTCTGATTTTGTTGTTGATATTAGGTATAAATTTGGCTCTCACACTAAACATGACGATGAATATGATTATGATTCTATAGATGTAAATTTGATTGTGGATTTGAAGTGGATCTAAAGTTGGATCATATTTCGATTTTGATCGTAACTCAGAGATTCTGATTCTGAGAATCTTCAGAATCTAAATCAAAATGACAATCAAAATTATGATTCGGATTAGAATCAAGAGTAGCATCAAAATCATGATTCAAATCGAGACCATATGGTCACAGCTCGGGTCAAAATGGATTAAGTTCAGGGCCAAGGCAAAAGTTAAATTCCTGATGGCCAGACTCACGATAAAAAAAACTGCATCAAAACAAAAATCGAAATCACAATAACATCTATACCAAAAATTAGGCCCGGAGCCGTATGATTCAGGAACAGAATCAGAAACAGCTAGAGAAAAATCAGAATCACTTTAACAATAAAAATCGTAACCAAAACCATGATTTACATTAGTTGTTCTGACAAACATCGAAATCACAATAACATCCATAACAAAAATTAGGTACGGAGCCATATGATTCGGGAACAGAATCAGAAACAGCTAGAGAAGAATCAACAAATCTAGATCAGAATTATAATCCGAACCACTGTCATAGTACAATCAGACCTAAAACCAGAATCGGAATCACTTTAACAATGAAAAGCATAACCAAAATCACGATTTACGTTAAGATCAGGATCAAGGTCCATCTTAGAATGAACAGTCAACGCCGAGTCAACGTAATAAAAACGCTTCTTCCGAATGCGATTCTGATGTTGACAATGATGATGCTTGTGATGATTTTGACTGATCATGATTTTGATTCTGATTCAAAATTGAATGTGGATTATGATCCTGATATTTTGATTATAATTTTCTGACATTAAGATTATGGTAGTGAGTCAGTTCGCCGAACATATGGTTTTCGCCTCTTATTGTGAATCTATTTTGAATTTGGATCATGATTATTGTGATTCCAATTGGGATACTGATTCAGGATTCTATGTCTGATGGCCCTAATTCTGAATTTATTCCTGATCTAATTTTGGCTTTGGCTTTATAATTTTGACATTTACCTGAGCCTTGGTCCTCCATATCAACGTTGATCTTTACGTAAGTTTTGATTCTGATTTTGCTGTTGATATTAGGTATAAATTTGGCTCTCACACTAAACATGACGATGAATATGATTATGATTCTATAGATGTAAATCTGATTGTGGATTTGAGGTGGATCTAAAGTTGGATCATATTTCGATTTTGATCGTAACTCAGAGATTCTGATTCTGAGAATCTTCAGAATCTAAATCAGAATGACAATCAAAATTATGATTCGGATTAGAATCAAGAGTAGCATCAAAATCATGGTTCAAATCGAGACCATATGGTCACAGCTCGGGTCAATATGGATTAAGTTCAGGGCCAAGGAAAAAGTTAAATTCCTGATCAGAATCACAATCATCACCAGGGCCAGACTCACGATAAAAAAACTGCATCAATACAAAAATCGAAATCACAATAACATCTATACCAAAAATTAGGCCCGGAGCCGTATGATTCAGGAACAGAATCAGAAACAGCTAGAGAAGAATCAGAAACACTTTAACAATAAAAATCGTGACCAAAACCATGATTTACATTAGTTGTTCTGATCCTAATCCCTATATTATAATTCTGATTGACAGTGAGTGTGGTTATGATTATGACCGATCGTGATTCTAATTCGAAATTGGATTGTGATTCTGATTCAAAATTGAATGTGGAACCAGAATCTGCCAAATCCATTTGGCGTTTACTGTTCTTATCTTGCTACACCCAGAGCTACACTAAAAGCACGATTCGCAATGCAAAAGCAGCTTTTCTGTTTGAGACTACGCCACACTTGCCACAGTTGGCGGAATATTTACATTCTCTTCAAAATGGGGTTAGCAGATTCCCGATCGCTCTCCAGAATGGACATTTGGCATCTTCAGCATCATACCCAACTGTAGAAGGTATTTTGGGTTGAAAAGAAAATCAGAAGATAGATTTTATTACCCGAGGGACCGTAGAATAATCGCAGCTACGCCATGCTTTTTAGCGCATTTTTAAGAATTAAAAAAAATGTGCTATTGTTTGCGTTTTGTACGTCCGTTCGTCTGTCCGGACCCACTTCTGCCGTTTCGAACTACTTCTAGTCTAGGGAATGGCCATCAAATTTCGCTGACTAAAGGGGGGCCCCCCACGAATTATTTCCTGAGATGCTGTTTTTGAAAGTAAAACGTGCATTAGTGGTGCCAAGTTAACACATGTTCTATCCTTCATGGTATTCTAATGAAAGGTCTCATCGAAATAAATTGGTTTGTACAAGCTATAACTTTCTTGTGCGACTCTTTTTCGAGATCAGTGAGCGACGGGGCCTGAGGGGGGGGTTAAAATTAATTTGATCTCTCATTGTATTAAAGGTCTCAACGAAAGGAACCGTTTCCTACCAACTACTGCCCTTCTTTCTGTCCTCTTATCAAAGTACGTGGTGGAGAGGCCCGGGAGGGGGGGTGGTTGGAGTGGAACTAGTTTTACCCTTCATGGTACTCTAATGAAAGGTCTCAACGAAAGGAATTAATTTCTACCAACCATAGCCCTCCTCCTCACCCTCTTATCGTAATCGGGCATATTCCCTTATACCTCAAGAACGGATTTTCGGATTAATTTTCAATATTAGGCAGTAATTATCTTTGACGGCAACGTATTTGAGCCACGGGAGATTTGTATTACCATTGCTTACTATAAACAAATAAAAAAAAGATAAAATGAAAAATACAAATTCCCTCATAGTCGTAGCCGGTGCTGATGAATTTGGGAGCTTCTTTACTGTATTTCTATTGGAAAATGTAACTTACTCGTAACGACGAGAACGACGGACTTCTCGGTCTTTCCCGCGATGTTCTCCGCAACGCACTTGTACTCCCCAGCGTGGCCAGTTTCGAGCTTTTGTATAATGAGGCGACCATCATCGTCGACCCTTACGCTACCCGTGTCAGAAACCTACAACTTGACGATAGCATCACGCTCGCTAGTTACAAAATAACTTACAGTGTGTCCCGCCGGATTAAGCCAGTACTTCTTGGCGCGCGGCTGACTTTTCGGTTCCAGACAGGTGAGCTGAAAGACGCCCGCCTCGGGAAGGACCACTTTTCCGTCCTCGAAACCCGACGGCTCGAAACTTCTGTCGGTGAACGGATCGATAACTGAAATTCAAGAGTTGATCGGCGGAAAATTGCGCTTATTTGCATACAGGCCAGCTTTAATTCGGCGGTGTAGCTTTGCGGAACCTCCGTGGAGTCGCCCTTGATTCCGACACAGTTGTACATCCCCTGATCCGACTCCTGCACGTGATTTATCTCAAGCGATCCGTTCGTGTGCAGCGTCACTCTGCGGGAAACTCGGCGGTCATTTAAATCTCGACACCGATAATTACCTAGTGTTACTCTCCAGAGGACCGACGTCCTTAAAGTACCACTCCAGGCCATCGGCGTTGTCGTACGAGCAGTCGAACATGACGGCGCCTCCCTTCGTCGCCAATTGATTGCTCGGAACCGTTTTAATTAACGCGGTTTGATCCCCTGTAAATATCTTTCTTAATTTCGCGCGCGCTACAAAAGTTGGCGAATACCTGCGACGGATAAAGCAAAATTCTTAACGCTGTGTTGGATTCCGGCCTCATTACGTGCGATGCATCGGTAGATTCCGTTATCAGAGGGATTTGCGGATTTTATATGAAGCTTCCTCTTTTTTATTTCGAGCCGTTGCGACTTCGTTAATCGATCTGCATTGCTGCGGAAATAGAAAATTAGTCTTGCAACCGAAAGAAGCTTATAGAGAGGTTTTTTCTAGAGCTTCCCCCTACCTACCTATAGCTCTAACGGGGAAAAAAGTTCAATTTACTGAAATTAAATTAAGAGTTGGCGGGCACGTACCGAAACCATTCAACGTGTATATCCCCAGTTGCGTCCAGATGACATCGGAGGATGACCTCTGTTCCGGACGTGATGTACGATGCCGATTCGGGAGAATGAAGTTGCACGGACGCTTCGCCAATCCCTGTGAACAAGATATAAAAAACGTCACAATTTATGGATAGATCATATCTCTCTAATTACGCCTCCGTCTCGTTTCGATTTAATCAAAATAAACAATTGTGGAAATTGAAAGGAGGGTACTTATGCAATTTTTCTTTGAAAGCAATTGCCAAAGGACAATTTACGAAATAATAATAATAATAATAATCACAGTCAAAATCATATAATCAGCACGAATGCAGCACTAGTAACAAGTTCTCAGGAACAAAATCATGAGTGTCATAATCAAGTCACGATCACGAATCAATCAAAATCGTGATCAGCATGACCCAAAATCAATGTTGGCATCAAGCTCAGGATCAAGGTACCAACATCTGAAAATGAATCAGAATATTACGGTTAGGGAAAATGTCATCATCAGAATCACATTCTGATTCAAAACATAAGCAATAATCAGGGTCATCCAACAATACGGTAAGAAACAAAGTGATGTCTAGTATCAGAAGCAAATTACAAAGGTTACGTATTCCTTTTATCTTTACATCTATTGCATCCACATCTAGTAATTATATGATCGTGTTAGATTATTTGCCAAATTAACGGCATTCCAGTCCAGCAAGGGTATTGTCATTTGTAAATTATCATTCGAAATACAAATTGCCCTTTTATAGGTCTACTGATCATACTTTCAATTAAAAGCAAAATTCCATTCTGTTTTCTACGTAAATATGTTGGTTTTCAATTTACAGTATCCTTTTAGTCCTAGTGCTGGGTTTAACTACGAACCCGCAATATGAATTTCTGACCGATTTACGTGTTTTTATTTATATTTAGATACGGTATCTTCTCTTAGGGATGACGTTCACTGCGGGTATGCAGAATTAGACGGTCTAATAAATATTATAGCGATGCGTGGCTGGGATGTATTTGGAAACATCGACACTACATTGTTAATCTATATTTAAATTTATTGCAGCATATTTTCTTTCTTGTGCAGGAATAGATTACTGTTTATTTACAGGATGCTTCATTTGGGGGACGAGTGACGTACGTTAGGTCGTTGATTGTTACATATTGCACTTGGCATTGAGAATTAATTACTTTATACGGTTTTGCCACGACATGTTCCTTTGTTTTGTTGTAATGTGATACTTAACCTTATGCTCCTATTTATTTGAACCGGGTGATTACGATTATTTATATTTGGCAGGGTGACTTGTTTCGAATATGTATACTATGCTATATTTGATACCGATATTTAATCTCGATTTGACGTAGCAGAGGCTGGCTAAAGTTCAGAACTGACATACGCAGAGATATATGTTTTATGTACTGTTCTTTTCCCGGCTTCACTTGCGCAGAGATCTGCTAAAAGCGTACGGCGTGTTCCCGTTGTGCCCTTTGTTTTTTGTATCCATTGGGGTATCCTTCCTGTATGAAATACTCTTCTGAGAGGTCAACTCCTAGCGTTTTCATACAATGCTGACATGTCATGACCAGAGCAACTAAAGATTATTCGGTGTGGGATTTGGACTGGCCATCCAATAACAAAACTTATTATGTAAATTTATTGTAATGTTTTAATGATTGGTTTTTTTTTGTTATGTGTGTCGAATATTAAAGGAATTCCAGAGGTGTCTATGATTCGACATTATAGCAATTTACTTAACAACCATCCTAATATGCATTCATGTCATTACAGACAACTAATTTTGCTATAAAATTTAATATTAATTTGTTGGCTGGTTTTTTCTTGGTCAGTTCCTTTTTTCCCAGCCTTTTGTCATATTTGTACTCGGCGAACTACCATTTTCTAAATTTAATCTTGCAATGCGAATTTTTTCTCCGTTTTTAAAGCATTTACTTGTTTTATTTGCATGCCTTACTTAATCCTCACTCCGACAGGCAACACATATCTTGTAGCGACTCTTAAAACACAACGTAGTAAGTGGTCTTTTGGTGGTGGTGGTGGTATTTTGTTATTCAGATTAGGTAGCTTTTTCTAGACGATCATGTGCCATGGGGTTCAGTTAGTTTGGGAGGGAAAATTTTGAATTTAAATCTTGAGTTGTGCAGTCTCTCTGAGCTGGCCTGGATACACCACAACGTCATCGTGAAATTCAACTGTCATTTGCCACGTGGGTCAGATCTCGGAAAGTAGATTTATTTATTAGGTCAACAATAACCTCATTTTTTTCGTATCTTGTTTCATTTGGTTATAAATCCGGAGGTCGGGTGTTCGAACCTTGGTTGAGGTGAATTTTTCATCTGTGGCGGAGATGGAAATTACCTTAGACCAGTTCCGAGCATTCTACCGGCTACTCCGAATTAGGTTTTCCTGCAGTTTTCCTAATTGGTAAGGTAAATACCGGACTAGTAGATATAGACCTTCTGCAGAGGCACCTCTAAATAGCATTATGCGGGTCACTCTGTAATTGGGCGCATGCCTGTTGAGGGCCCAAAACAAGAGAGGGATAATAAAATAAATAAAAATAAATTTTCAAGGTCAACGTCCCCTTTTTTGTGGCGCCATATTTTATTCTCAAACTGGTCAAAGTCCACTTTCAATTTAATCTGAAGTCAATGACCCTGTTTTTATGGTGTAATGTTCCAAGGTTGCCTCATTTTATCTCCCAAGGTCATTAAAGGTCAATTGCATTCATTTTCAAGGTCATTTTTGTGGTGCCAATTTATTTTCAAGGTTATCAAAGTTCAATAAACAATAATCAGAACTATAGTTTATAGTTTAGAATGAGACCTGGCTCAGTTCAAGGTCGCTCTCCACCTGGTGGCAAAGGTGAAAAGTACGTCAAGGTGAAATTCAACTGTCACATGCCACGCGACTCAGATCTTAGAAAGTAGAGATAAAAGAGAAACTAAAGGGCATTCGTTTTCAAGGCCATTTTTACGGTATCACACTTTGCCCCCAAAGTCATTAAAGATCGATGACCACACTTCATTCTTAAGGTCATCAGTAACCTCATTTTTTTCGTATCTGATTTCATTTTCAAGGTCAACGTCCCGTTTCTTGTGGTGCCATATTTCATTCTCAAACTGATAAAAGTCCCTTTTGAAATTAATCTGAGGTCAATGACCCTGTTTTTATGGTGCAATGTTTCAAGGTTGCCACATGTTATCTCCCAAGGTCGTTAAAGGTCAATTGCATTCATTTTCAAGGTCATTTTTGTGGTGCCAATTTATTTTCAAGGTTATCGAAGTTCAATGACCTTCAATTTTGTGCCGTATTATACATGTACGCAGACGCTCTTATAACCTACTATTGTGTCCTTGCACTCACCTACAGTTTACTTAACGATCAAATGGGGCCATTGACCTGAGACGACCTTAAAAATAAAACTTGACGCCTCAAAAAAAAAAATGGGGGCACCGACCCCTGACGACCTTGAAAACGCAATATAGCACCGCAGGAATGAGATCATAATGAACATAAATCATGGCACTATAAACAAGGTTTTGTGACCTCTGATGAATCTGACAATGAAGGATAAATTGAGGTCATTGAACCTTGAAAATGAAATATAATAGGTACCACAAAAAACGGTACCTTGAAAATAAAATATGATAAAAATGAGGTCATTGAACTTTGATAACTGACAATTAAAACAGAAGAGACAACAAAAATGGGGTCATCCATCTTTAATAACCTTGGAAGTGACATCGATCGGGTCGTTGACATTTGGTAACCTTGAAAGTGAAATATGATCACCCAAAAACGGGAGCCACTGACCTTTGCTGACCTTGCAAACGAATGCCCTTTAGTTTCACCTTGACTTACTTTCCAAGGTCACAGACATGTGAAAGGTGACTTAATCTTCACCTGACCTACTTCCCACGGTCACTACCAGGTGACGAAAGACCTTGAACTGAGCTAGGATCGCTCCTGTAACACTACTATCCGTCATAGTCAAATTTATAACCAGGTTCTGAACGCAAGACAAATCTAAATTTTTGGTCCCTTTTTTCGAAATAAAACTCAGATCACAATTACAAGTCAGTAATCAATTAGGATGCTCATAGCGCAGTATAATACAGTTCAAAATCACAATGATAACCGCATTCAAAATTAGATCCATTGTGACAGTTGGTGCTAGTTAGACTATCATAATCAGAATAAAAATCAAGATAAGAATTGATTTCATTTTCAAGGTTTTCCTTGTAGTGCCATATTTCGTTCTCAAGCTGATCAAAATCCCTTTTCAAATTATATGACCCTGTTTTTATGGTGTAATGTTTCAAGGTTGTCACATTTTATCTCCCAAGGTCATTAAAGGTCAATCGCGCGCGTTTCAAGGTCATTTTTGTGGTGTCAATATATTTTCAAGGTTATAAAGTTCAATGACCTTCAATTTTGTGGTGTATTATAGGCAGACGGTCTTTGTAACCTAATAATGTGTCCTTGCACTCACCTATAGTTCACTTAACAATCAAATGGAGTCATTGATCTGAGACGACCTTAAAGGTAAAATTTGACGCCTAAACAAAAAAAATGGAGGCACTGATCCCTGATGACCTTGAAAACGCAATATGGCACCATCCATTCACAAACCTGATCCAAAATTATATTCAGAATTAGAATAGGATTTAAATGACCCAACATCGAAACACGGCAACATAATCATAATGATCAGAATTGATAATGATATGATATCAATACCCACAATAAGGTCAAGGTCGGAGTTAAGGTTAGGGCTAAGGTCAGAACTATATATCAGTGCCAGAACATTTAGATACATAACCATAATCGTGATCAGAGTGAACCAGAATCAGTATTAGGTGAAGGTGAAGATCAGAATCGACGTCAGAAACAAAATAAAATTAATTAGAATCAGGATCAAGGTCGCGCTCAAGTTCCGAAGGATCAAAAGAAACAAAAGGGTCAATGGTATTAAAGGGATCAAAGGGATGAATTGAATCAAAGATCAAGAAGATCAAAAGGATCCAAGGGATAAAAAAATTAAAAGGGGTCAAAAGAATCGAAGGAAAGAAATCAAATGGCTCGAA